GGCGCCGTGACGGCCCAGGAGGCCCCTAAGACGTCCCTAAGAGGGCCCCAAGACGATCCACGAGGCCTCCATTACGACCTAGATTGCGCCCGAGACGGCCCTGAAACGGTTCAAGGGGGCCCCAAGTCGGCTCAGAGAGGCCTCCAAGACGGCTTCCGACGGCGTCAGACGGGCCAGAAACGCCCTAAGAGTGCCAGAGGAGCCCAAGAGGCGCAAGGAGCCCCCCTAAGAGGTGTTCATTACTCCGACGGAAGAACCCCACATAAGAATCCCCTGGGCGAATCTGGAAAAAGCCATCACCGTCGTCCTCGTGGTTGGTGAGGCGTCCTGGCTGTCTCTTCTGCGTATATTTCCTCTCGCCTTGGCGCGGGCCCCCCTTCCACTCCTTACGTTGTCCCCATCCTCGCCCCCCTGTTTGTTCCGCGCCCCGCCACCTCCTCCCCTTCCTGTTGCATGAGCGCGCATGTCGATGTTCCTCGGCGCCGTCGCCGCCACGGCCAGCACAGGCGCGTTCTCTACTGGTCACGTCGCGCAGCCGTTGGGACAACCCCGCGGGCCAGGCTGTCGGGACAACCCCGCGAGCCGTTGGCGCGCAAGACCAAGCCGTTGGGACAACCCCGCGGGCTTCGAGCGAGGCGCAGCCGCGCTCAGGCGGAAGGCAGCACGAAGCCCAGCTCTGCCGCGAGCTGCTTCGCCTCCGCCCTGGACAAAACCGCTCTCTTGTCGAACTCCAGGAGCGCCTTCCGCAGGGACGCCGGCGGCCCGCACTCCAGGAACTCTCGCGGCGGCGGCCGCAGGATCAGCATGTTCCGCATGCACGTGGCGCGGGAGAACATGACGTAGAGGTGCAGCCACCACTGCTCGTCCGACATGCCCGTGCGGCCAGCGTCCTCGTCTCTCGCGCAGTCGATGGTGACGCCCTTGCGCAGCGTCTGGCCCTGCGACAGCGTGGAGGTCAGGTAGGACGCGTGCGTCAGGGTGAACCCCGAGCGGCGCACGCTGTGCGCCCCCGAGCTCTGCCATGTGAACTCCCTTTCGCTGGGCCTGAACATCAGCAAGCTCCGCGCCCGCGCCTCGGCCTGGCCGTCGTCGTCGGCGCCTTCGGCGCCCTGTCGCAGCACCTCGGCGACCTGAGGAGCCCAAAAACTTCCTTGTTGCATCCAAAGTGTGGCCTGGGAACTGCGTTCTGGCAGCGCGAGAACCCAACATTGACGACAGTTACAGGTTTTGGATGACCTGCTCGGATTACCAACATGATCTGCGGGCCCCATAGGGAGGGGGCTCCCGCCTGAGACTTCCTCGCAGTTCACTCACAGACGAGGCTCCCGCCTGAGACTTCCTCCATATTCAGGCTTGAGGAGCCCAAAAGTGACGACAGTTACAGGGTTCCGATGACCCGCTCGGATTACCAACATGATCTGCGGGCCCCATAGGGAGGGGGCTCCCGCCTGAGACTTCTTCACAATTCACTCAAAGACGAGGCTCCCGCCAGAGACTTCCTCCAAATTCAGGCTTGACGAGCCCAAAAGTGACGACAGTTACAGGGTTCCGATGACCCGCTCGGATTACCAACATGATCTGCGGGCCCCATAGGGAGGGGGCTCCCGCCTGAGACTTCCTCGCAGTTCACTCACAGACGAGGCTCCCGCCTGAGACTTCCTCCATATTCAGGCTTGAGGAGCCCAAAAGTGACGACAGTTACAGGGTTCCGATGACCCGCTCGGATTACCAACATAATCTGCGGGCCCCATAGGGAGGGGGCTCCCGCCTGAGACTTCTTCACAATTCACTCAAAGACGAGGCTCCCGCCAGAGGGCTTGACGAGCCCAAAAGTGACGACAGTTACAGGGTTCCGATGACCCGCTCGGATTACCAACATGATCTGCGGGCCCCATAGGGAGGGGGCTCCCGCTTGAGCCTTCCTCAGAATTCACTCACAGACGAGGCTCCCGCCTGAGACTTCCTCCATATTCAGGCTTGAGGAGCCCAAAAGTGACGACAGTTACAGGGTTCCGATGACCCGCTCGGATTACCAACATAATCTGCGGGCCCCATAGGGAGGGAGCTCCCGCCTGAGACTTCCTCCCAATTCACTCACAGACGAGGCTCCCGCCTGAGACTTCCTCCAAATTCAGGCCTGGGGAGCCCAAAAGTGACGACAGTTACAGGGTTCCGATGACCCGCTCGGATTACCAACATGATCTGCGGGCCCCATAGGGAGGGGGCTCCCGCCTGAGACTTCCTCACACTTTACTCAACGATGATGAGGATGAGGATGATGAGTGGTGGTGAAGATGAGTGGTGAAGAGGATGATGATTGATTGTGGGTGGTGGTGGCGATGATGATGTTTGAATGAGGATGATGCCGATACCGATGATGACGATGATGTTCGTGAGCGTGTGAGAGAGTGCGAGTGATGATGATGTGTGTGTGAATGAGTGCGAGGAGAAGAGGGGGTGAGTGAGATCTCTCTCCTGCGCGGGGGTGTGCAGAGAAAACAAGAACCCCACTTTGGATGTGGGGAAAAAAGCCTCAAGGAAGCCCCCAAAAAGCACTAAGAGCCCAACCATGCCCCAATAAGCTTCCGAGAGGCCTCCAGGACGCCTCCTAAAGCTCACAAGAGCCCCCAAGAGGCCCCGAACATGCCCATTCCTCACTCTCCTGCTCTTCCCCGTCCTCCCCCACATGTTCCCCGAAAGCTTTCCAAACCGATTCGGGGAACACATGGTCCGATAACTTGGCAGGGCTCTGGCCTCAACGTTCGGCCACATAGGAACTTCCGAAAGGGCAAGGGGCGTAGGCGCCCCCGATAACGCCAACGTTTCAATACGCGCTGATGACTCCTATCCACCCCCGCATGCTGTTCCCACATGCGCCAAGGCAGCGCCGAGACGCACCGACGCGACTCTGGTATATCCCATTGTGATAGAGAGGGGGTAGCGGCGGCAAGGGGCGAAGCCCTTACGCACAATACAGATGGATCGATTGAGAGGTTGGTAGAGAGATCGATAGTGAGGGTGATAGCGAAAGCGATCGATTTTCATCTCGGAAGGCACAGAGTGAGGCCGACCGATACATAGTAAGGACGATCCAAAGATGGCAATATCGATTGGTAGTGTGATCGGCCGATGGATGGTGAGGTCGATCGTGAGATTGAGCGATAAGTAGATCAATACACCGGCAAAACGATTGATAGTGAAACCTATAGGTGGAGAGTGAGACCTCAAAGTAGTGAGATCGGTAGAGGTTGCTCGAGGGACGGGGACGATTGTCCGTCTGCGTGTCCCGCCGTTGGTCCATTCAATTTCCTTGTCGGCCTTTGGCTGGTCTTGTGTGCAGAGCGGAGCCTGAGGAGGATGAGACCGAGGGGAAAAGGAGGCACCTCACCAGGAAATCGGTGTCGGCTTCGTGCTCGTGCCGCGCGTGCGGGCGAGACGAGGCTGCGTGCGCGGGCGACGGGAGTGACCCCGCCGCTGCCAAAGCGAAATCAGAACAGAAGACTCTCCTCCACCCGCTTCCCGCTACGCGGATTTGGACCCGCAGTTGTCCCGCGGTTGTCCTGTGGCTGTCCCGATGGTTGCCCCGACGCTTGTCCCGATGGTTGTCCCGATGGTTGTTCCGATGGTTGCCCCGTGGTTGTCCTGATGGCTGTCCCGATGGTTTCCCCTATGGTTTTCCGATGGTTGTTCCGATTGTTGTCCTGATTGTTGTCCGATGGTCCTCCCGATGGTTTTCCCGGTGGTTGACCCGATGGTTGTTTGTGGCAAAGGATGAATGTCATGTGACTCGATGGTGTCCCGATGGTTTTTTAGCGAGAAGACGCGCTCGGCACCTTTGGCGCCTCGAGATGTTAGACCACATGCAACACATTTGCGCTGTTTGTCCCGATAGAACAACAGTGAGATCGGCAGATACGTAGTGATATCGATAGATGGAGAGTGAGGTCGATATGACGATGGCAAGAGAGGTTGATCGTGAGACCAATCGATAGTGATATTGATAGACCGATATACACTGACGCCGATATACAGATAGTGAGATCGATCGGTACATAGTGGCATTGGTGGGGAGTGAATATACATATACAAGCATGGGTATCTAATGACATTCACAGATAAACATAGCCATAGACCGACAGACGTATTCAGAGTGATATCGATAGTGGGGCCGACCGAAAGTGAGACCGTCTCAGACCAATAGGGGCCATGAGGATGGAGAAGGTTGTCGCGATGGTTGTTTCGTCGTCGGTTTCGCCCGCTGCAACCTCCTTATCGGCTTCTGGCTTGTGTATTTCATGTTTGACATATGTACACCTGTACATAATATAAAACATACGGGTGGAAACTGTTGCTTACCGTGTCGTGGCGGCGGCCCTGGCGACACGCTGTGCCTCTTGCAAGCGGATGGCGTGTCGCTCCGCTCCGCGTGGCGGGAGACTTCGAAAATCTCGGGACGCTGACGCCTGGGGACCGGAAGTGGCCAGCGTGTCGCGCCAGAATCGCGGTGGGCCAGAGCTGGCTGCACGCGACGGAAACGTTCCTGACCAGTGTTGGAGACGGAGACGGGGGTCCCGAAACGGTGCGGTGACAACCTGCGCGATGACCTCGGACCCCTCAACGACCTCACCTCAAGGTTTTGGTGCCCTGGAGGCCCCAATCGCCAGAGACTTCAACGAAGAACGGCCCAAGTCCCAAAACAGTGCGGTCACCCCGAAACCACACAGACTCACCACACGATGTGGTCACAGCACCGTTGGGGGGGCCCCGAAAGAAGAGTCGGCGGCGCGCCCGGGGGGAACGTGAGAGGGAGAAGGCCTCCTCAGAAGGCGGCGAAGCTTCTCAGAAGCCCGCCGGCCTTCTGAGAAGATTGCTGTGTCTTCGGAGAAAGATCAGCAAACTTTTCAGAAGGCCGGAAGCCCTCCGAGCCTCCCAAGGAGATCCGCCTCTTCTCGATCCCCTCCTGGTCCCGCCGCCGAGAGAGGGGACGGGAAAACGCTGGCCTCGCCAGAGTAGTTCCCCATCCCAACCTCCTTGACGACGTGCTCCATGAAGCTGCTGTCCGCCTCGAGCTGGGCCGCGCAGCTGGCCGCGTCCACTCTGAGCTCCACCTCGGCTCGGCTGCGCGCAAGCGTGACCTCTGCCAGGGGTGCCCTCTGGTGCGCTCCTGTTCGGGGCGCGCCACCCCGTAAAGCCTCCCTCCTGGCCCCGTCGCTGGGGGGGACAGAACGGTACTAACACCGCTGCTCGCATGACCTCTCCCTGACTGCGTTCTGATCATCGTTCCGCGGAAAATCCAGCCGTGGCTGCGAGGTGCGGGTGGCGGCATCGGTCCAGTCATCGTGCGAACAAAAGGAGACGCCAAACAAGCAACGAACCGCGGCGAGCCTCGGCCACGAACAGCGGCCTAAACACCGGTGCACATATGCTGTCCTCGTTTGAAAGTCTAGAGGCCTCCAAAAAGTGGTCCGAGCAGATGGGGTCGGAGGATCGCGCCGCATCACCGATGCACCGCCGATGCATCGACGATGCACCGGCGCCGTCGGCGACGTCGGCGTGGAGGAAACCGGGCTCCGCATCGAGCCGCATCGCCGATGCATCGGCGAAAGCGGCGCGAATCACCGAGCCCATCCGCTCGGATCCCATTTGGGAGGCCTAGAAAGCGACCCTCGAACCTCGATCGTCCGACCTCGAGCGGGGCGACGCCAGCGCCCCCGCCTCCGGGAGCGCCGACCCCACTAGGAAGGCCTAGAGCGTCTCGACTGCAGCGGCATGGGTGCCCTTTCCCTCCGGCTGGGGAAGTGCTGGGCCGTGTGGCGGTTAGCACTCCATGGCCCCCCCCCATTGGGAGCGGACCTAAGTTAAGAGGCCCAACGCCATTAGGGATAGGGGGGTCTTTGCAGCAGATGCATCAAAACCAAACCGCCCAGGTGGATCATCCCTTGTGCCAAAAACGAGGACCTCAGTTAGGCCACGTCTTCGTCGTACTACTGGGGTTAGGGGTTCTCGTTTTTTGTTGATTAGAGACCACCCCCCTTGTGAGAGGGCACAACCCAAGACCCCCCGATGTCGTGATTTTTGTTTCCAACGTCGACGCCCAGAGGTCTGGACCCTTTCCCGGGGACCAGTTCTTCATCCTGTGTTCTGTTGACGGCCCCTGGGCCCGATAAGGGCCCCTGAAGGCCGAAGCAGAAAATAGCGAAAAACTCGCGAGGGGCGGCTGGGAATTTGCGCACCGCCGATCAGTGGCCTCGGCGCCCTCGGCGCCGTGCTCGCCGTCGTCGGACCACAGGCTGAGGCCCGAGGCGGCGCAGAGGCACGCGGCCGCGAGCAGGGCCGCGCGCGCCAGCACGGCCATGGCGCCCCCCCCCCAGCCGCGGGTGCAAGTTCAGTGTGGAGATGGAAGGTGCACGGCGGGTTCGTGTCGTGACGCAAGGGGGATGAGTCCTGACCTCTGGGCGTCGACGTTGTGAACGAACTCACGACGACGAGGGTCTGGGAAAGGTGCCGATGCCGCTACCCTTGCCTCCTTTCCACGTTTCGGGGGCCTCCCGGGAGGCCCTCGCCGCCACGCCTGGATTCGCCTCGAAACTCTGGTCAGGGCGCACCCTGGGAGAGGTTCCGGGTATCTCTTCGTTTCCCCCATCGTCGCGGCCCAGGCGTTGGCTCCCGACACCGCGTGGATCGCTCAGCTCTGATCGCTGCCTCTCGGCCGTGCGGCCCGTTCCATGCCGGTCGATTCCGGGCCAGTGGCCGCGTTGAACCTTCGCAGCGGCTGGTGGCTACTAGCGGCTGGTGGCCACTGTCACTGGCGCATTCGAACGCCCTCGGCGGGGTCGCCGCCGCGTCGACAATACGCAAACCTGCCGTAAATGCCTGGGCCAACGTGGACCCAAGCCGAACCAGAGTGGCTGCGTCGCAGCTGTTGTCGTCGCCGTCGCCGCCGTGGCCTCCGCCGTTGCCGCCATCGCCGTCGACGTCGCCGCCGCCGTCTGGGAAGGCGTGGGAGGCCAGCTGCGGAGATGGAGGGGGCAGGAGGGGGGAGGCTTCCCAGACTCGCGACGTCGTGATTTCTACACAACGCCGACCCAGAGGTCTGAACCCCTTCCTCGGGACCGGTTTTGACGGTCCTGGGGCCCGGTGTGAGGGCCCCCGGAGGCCGAAGATTGTACAAACCACCCGCCGTGATGTTTTCACAGGGGATCTGGGTTCTCTTCCCCCTCCCGCTCGATTACAACAAACAAGCTGCCATCTCGCCTATTTCCTTCCGCCGCCTCAAGGCAGCCTTCCCCTGACGGACCCGGCTCCGGCGGACGTGCCTCCCCCCCGTCTTCCCTCCGCTGGCTTCCGCCGGGGAAGAAACCCATACATGCGATGTACTGATTTGTTTAATGCTCAGACCCCCTCGCGTTTTGAAAACTACCCTGGCAACGTACCCAACCCCTGCGCCGTGCAGGGCGGGAGTAGCTTGGGAGATTTGATGAGAGGGCGACGACGTGATATGGACGCACATACTTCTGTGAGCGGCATTCAGGAGGTTCGCACAGCAAATAACCAAGGCACACAGGGGGCACATCAGGCACAACAAACGCATCCGGCCCGCCATGCCCACCAGAACACCGAACGCACTGGGCACACAACTCACACCACAAGCACCAAACACACCAGGCACATCAGGGATACGCTGGACCCACCAGCAGCCCTCGAAAGTGGCGACCGTGTCGCAGAGCGCAGCCCCCCAGAGACGGCGAGGTCCCGCTCAGGTCTGCGCGGTGCCTCACTCCGCTGGACCCACCAGCAGCCCTCGAAAGTGGCGACAGTGTCGCAGATCGCAGCCCCCCAGGGACGGCGAGGTCATATATATATATATATAGAGAGAGAGAGAGAGAGAGAAATAACAAAAAAAACGAGAGAGAGAGAGAGAGAGAGAGAAAACGAGAGAAAGAGAGCAAGAGAGAAACAGAGAAAGCGAGAAAGAGAGAGAGAGAGAGAGAAAGCGGCGAGAGGCAAGAGGCGGGAGGCGGGAGGAGGAGGAGAAGGAGACGCGACTGCAGTGCTCTACTCAAAACGAATACCCAACCAAGGATGGTTGGGAAAAAACGACTGGAGGTCCTGTTCTATTTTCGGCCTCGGGCCCTGGGACCAGACTCAGGATGCGAAACTGGCCCCAGGGAAGGTGCCCAGACCTCTGGGGGTCGACGTTTTGAAAAAAACACGACGTCGGGGGCCCCGGAAGTCCGACCCCGGGGTCAGATGTTCACCCCGAGCCGTGTGGTGACGGCCCCGAGGCCCGGCGAGGGCCCCCGGAGGCCGAGCACTTCCAAAAGCCTCCCGCCGTGATTTCTCCACGACGAGGACATGTCTGGGAACGTCACCCTCTCGATCGATCCTTCGATGGCGAGGCCCTGTCTGATCGGAGGCGACCGGGGAATCTGAACTGGTTGGAGCTCCCGAAAATCCATCCAAAATCGGCCCCGGGACCCCTCCCAGGGTCCTAGTGAAGTGTTTCGCCCCTGATCTGCTTCTCACGGCCCCGCGGGGTCCACAAAAGGGCCCCAGAGGCTGCAAAAGACAAAACAGACAAAAAAAAACCTGCCGAACCCAGCACCTCGAACCTGCCCTCTCCGAATGCTGGCCAGGACCAACGCTGGGCCACCTCAGACCACCCGCGGGCGTGCATTTACGGGAGGCGATATGCGGAGGGGGAAGAGAAGCGTGCATTGGGTCGCAGGGCGCCCCTTGAGGGCCCCTTCGGGGCACAAGAGGCGCACCCTCCTTCACCCCCACAGTCAGCCACCCCGCCCTAACTTCCCGACGCCCGGCCCCCAAACGGCTCCAACTGTCCGGAGCGCCCCGTGCAGGCACCGCAGCGTGCAGGGTGAGCCCCTGTCGGCCGCCGAGCGCCAGCAGCAGCGGTCGCGCCAGCCCCAGCTCCCGCAGCGCAGTCCGGGCCGCCGCCGCTGCGCGGTCGCCGCTCCTCCGCGCTCCGGGGCTCCTCCCTCCTCCCCAGACCCCCCTCGCGTGGTGAACATCTCACGGCAGGAGGTTTCTCAATACTTTCGGCCTCCGGGGGCCCTGACCAGGCCTCGGGACCGTCGAAGAATGACTCGGGACAGAAAGACTGTCCTTCTTGAAGCTACAGCACCAGAGAAAAGGCCAATCAGTGGATGTTGGAAAACGATTGAAAAGGATACTGAGATCGATTGTGCGATCGATCGTGAGATCGATAATGGGACCGACAGTGAGGACGATAGTAAGGTCGATCGTGAGACCAGTGACATCGATTCAGTGAGATCGATAGTGAGATCGATCGTGAGATTGCGCGTGCGATCTATAGTGAAATCGATAGTGTGATCGATGTGAGATCGATAGTGAGATCGATAGGAGAAGTCAGTAATGAGATCGATGGTGAGACCGATCGATAAAGAGATCGACCAGGAACCCAGGGACCCGGAAACACTTGTTTTGGTCTGCGGGGCGAGAACGAACCTCTTCCGCGCTAACGGGGACCCGGAAACACAGAGACCCAAGAACCCCGCCGCCCACAGAAATTGGCCCAAGACCAGCAAACGGGAACCCGGGAACCCGAAACTGGCAACCCAGGAACACGGCCGCCTACCGAAATCGGCGGGGCACCTTCGCCAAATCATTCGACGTCCGCTAGGACCCCTTCAGTGCAAGCACTGATTTGGGGAAAAAGCGGTTGCGTCGGGGAACTGGGCTCCTCCTGACGCCGCCTCCGCCCGCCCGCACCTCCTCATCCTCCTCCCTCCCCCTCCTCGGCCCCATCCCGCTCCTACTCATCCGCCTCCTCCTCCTCCTCCTCCTCCTGCTCCTCCTGCTCCTCATCCTCCCCCTCCCTCTCCTCCTCCTCCTCCCTCCTCCTCAACGTCCTTCTTCTCCCTCCTCCTCCTCGTCCTCCTCCTCCTCCTTCTCCTCCACCTCCCTCTTCCTCATCCTCCTGCTCCTCCTCCTGCACCTCCTGCTCCTGTTCCTCCCCCTCCTCCTGCGCGCACGTGCGCTCAGCCATACCTTCTCCTCTTCTTCCTCCTCCTCCTCCTCCTGCTCCTCCTCCTCCTCTTCCTCCTCCCACTCCTGTTTGACATTGAGCGGACTTTAATCCTTAGATTGCAACCTCTGCATCACCTTCCTCCTTCTCCTCCTCCTCCTCCTCCTCCTCTTCCGCCTGACGTTTTACCGCTGAGCGGACTTTAGCAACGATGCTGTAGCATGTTCCCTCCTCTCTCCTCCAGCTCCTCCTGCTCCTCCTGCTCCTGCTCCTGCTCCTGCTCCTGCTCCTCCTCCTCCTCCTCCTCCTCCTCCTCAACTCGTTCTCCTTATAACTAACTGTTCCCTGTCGCACCGCGAGGCCGGTCGAAAGGGCGGGCTGGGCGTTTCGCCTGAGATTTCATCACCAACTATGACCCTAAACTACAAATTTGCAAGAGCTTCACGGATGAAGGGCGGCTCGTTTTCAAAATGTGGCTCACGCCGTAGCGCCGCGAACACTTGTCTTAAAACACTGTTAAGAGCTTCACGGATGGATGGCGGCCCGTTTGCCAACTGCGGCTCTCGCCCTAGCGACGCGCACGTTCGTCCTAACAGTTTGCAAGAGCTTCACAGATAGAGGGCGATTCCTCTTCAAAATGCGGCTCTCACCTTGGCGCCGCGCACATTTATCTTACATGTTTGCAGCGGTGTCAAGGGTTACCATGGTTAACGTCCTAAAAAAGGGTTTTGACACGATGTCGGAAAGTCAGGGCGCAACAATCACGTTGACTCGCGGTGTCCCAGGAATGGACTGGTGCTCTGGCAGAATGCAGGATCGTCTGGACGCAACAATAACGGTGATTCGCGGCCTGGTTGTCCCAGAAATGGCCTTCTGGCACACTTCTGGATTTTCAAGCGTTGTTTCCAACGGGGCCTCCCCTCAGTGAAAATGAATCCGTACATGGGGCCATGGAGAGGGAACTTGGAGAAAGAGTTGATGCAATGTTGTTGATGAGTATTGGGTTCACACTGGTCCTCCTCCTCCTTCTCCTCCTCCTCCTTCTCCTCCTCCTCCTCCTCTCTTTCTCGGTGATGCCCGAGGGGCCACACTACACCCAACGACGCGGGCGCACCTCTCCTCCACCTCCTCCCCCGTTTCTGTTCCTCACAAAACAAATCCTCCCTGTCGCACCCCGAGGCGGGTCGAAAGGGCGGGCCGGGCGTTGCGCCTGAGACGTCCTCACCATTTATGACCTTGAAGCATACTAGCTCGAACATTGACGACAGCTTCACGGATGGAGGGCGGGTCGCTTTCAAACTGTGGCACTCGCCTTCGCGCCGCGTGCATTCGTGATAAATACGCAAGAGCTTCACGGACTGGTGGCG